GATCGCAGTAAATCTGTAGATTGCTTTGGGTACTAGGGTCATTTTAACAATATTAATTCTTCCAATCCAAGAGCATGGGATGTCTTTCCATTTCTTTAAGTCATCTTTAATTCCCTTAATCAATGTTTTGTAGTTTTCCACATAAGCTTTTCACCTGCTTGGTCAGATTTATTCCTAAGTATTTTATTTTTTTTTTGGATGTGATTTTAAAAGGGATTGTTTCTTTACTTTCTTTTTCTGATATTTCATTGTTAGTGTAAAGAAACGCTACTGATTTCTGTATATTAATCTTGTATCCTGTTACATTGCCAAATTCTTTTATCAGCTCTTGTAGTTTTTGTGCAGAGCTTTTAGGGGTTTCTATATATAGTATCATGTCATATCTGCATATAGTGACAATTTTACCTCTTCTCTTCCAACTTAGATCCCTTCTGTTTCTTTCTCTTGCCTGATTTCTGTGGCTAGGCCTTCCACTACTATGTTCAATAGAAGTGATGAGAGTGGGCATCTTTGTCTTATTCCAGGTTTTAGTGGGAAGGCTTTCAACTTTTCACCGTTGAGTATTAAGCTGGCTGTGGATTTGTCATAAATAGGTCTTATTATGTAGAGATATGTTCCCTCTATACCCACTTTGGTAAGAGTTTTTATCATAAATGGGTGTTAAATTTTATCAAATGCTTTTATTAAACATGTAACCATGGATGGAAACTTTTATTAGGAAGAAAATCCTTCTTGATGTTTTAAGTGATGAGTGGTTAGTTTGTACATTTTAAGAACAGAGATTGTATTTTCAGTTGTCTTTTGAAAATTCAGATATCCTACATCATACAGGGTCATGTTTGATAAACAACATTTTTTACAAATGTAATTCATTCTAAAGATGTATCAGATTTGTAAACATTTTGATATAAACATGGGCTAAGTTAACTTTAAATGTCTTCATATTTCTATCAATCCCTGTTGTTATTCATGATTCTACAATAGTGTCATCATTTAGTTTCCTGACTTTATTTATTGATTTAGTTCATGTTCCACAGAAAGGGCAGGGGCAGAGGGGCCTGAATAAACACATTTTTACTTCCTAATCATTAATCTCTATCCAGTTTTATTGATTTATTAATATTGGCACAGAGTTTATTTTGCTTAGTTCCAGCCTCATAAGTTAACTCTTGCTTCTATCCAAAGCTTTATCTAGCCTTTAACAGGCATTGTATAGGTGCCATGGATAGACAGATAAAGAAAACAACAAAATTTTGTCTCAGTACTCGTTTTCTGCATGCATTCTGTTTTCAAATGAATGTATCAATACAATATGAATCAAGTTTTTAAAACCTGACATTTGTGCTTTCAGAAGTATGACGAATAAGTCATGAAATGTTCTTGCCAAAAATGTTTAATCTCAACTGAATGAATTTTCTGGACATACTTTCTAATTTATAGGAAAAATGAGATAGAGATCAGTAAGTTAAATCATGCCATGAGGAAACAAATCAAGAATGTGGGCACTCTTTGGACATATTATGAAAAAAATCAAAGACATAAAAAAGTGGGGTTACAACTTTGGAGGAAAAAAACCCAAATGCAGTATATTAACCTAGAATAGGCAGTGTTGAGAAAATAAGCATTTACATTACAAATTTAGGAAAAATCTCCAAGAGGACAATTTGGTTTTTTACTATTCTGTTAGTAACTCCTACTTAAATTGTGAACAGAGAATATAAACTGTTGCTATTATCACAGTCTTTACACACACTAAACCGTATGCTTATTTCCCAAGTTACGTAAAATTTAGTAACAGATAAGTGGCTTTAAGGAGCTAAATTAATTAAACCATTAGAAACTTACTCATAAAAATTAACTATTAACACAAATAATGATGATGATACCAATAGCTCATGTTTACTGAACACAGGCTCCATGCCAGATACTCTTAGTTTTATAAGCATTACTTTAATCAGTCCCCATAGTGTGACCAGTGTGTGTGTTCCTGATTAGCACTTTACAAATGATGCCTATAGATGATAATTATCTCTGCCAGTGACACATAGGGTGTAAGATGGTAGAATGGCAGTGACAGGTAAAGTATGTACTGTGGTTACAAGCATTTCTGTGTACATCACAGTAGCAAGTTTGTTTATTACTAATTTTTGAGAGTACAACAATCACTGAGTGGTCTTGGAAGGTGTGGTGATTTGAAGTATGTCTGCAAATGTTTTGACATTCCTCCCTTCAAAAAGTGAAGCTGAATTCCTCTCCTACTGAATATGGGTTACACTAAGTGACCTGCTGCTAATGAAAATAATGTGGCAAAAGTGACTGCCACAGCTGGATGATAACAAGGATCCCTTCTTCTGAGAAAAGCTAAGTATCGTGTCCCAAGGACATTCAGGCGGCATATGGAGAGGTCCCTGTTGGAGAGGAAATAACTTGCTAGTGTGAACTTACCAGCCGCATGACTAAGCCGTCTTTGAAAGCAGACCCTCTAGCCGCAGTCAGTCCTTTAGGTAACTGCAGTCTCATGAGACCCCTGACACCAGAAGCACCCAGCTTAGCTGCCCCAAATTCATGACCCACAGAAACAAAGGAAAATACACATTCATTCAAGATTTTAAGCCACTGAGTTTTGGGGGAATGCAGCAAGAGATAACTAACACAGATTTTGGTACCTAAATGAGGTTGCTACTGAAACAGTGCTAAAAATATCAGAGCAGCTCTGTGTTCACAAAGTGAATGGAAACTGGATGGGCCTTGAAGATATTGTTAGCAGGTATCTTGAGGCTTTTGAAGAGCCTACTAGTGAAGGTTTACCAAAAAATGAGGAAAATGTCACTGGAGATGGGAAGAAGGGGAATTCTTGTTATGTAGTAGTAGACAGTTTTTTTTTTCTTTTAATAGACTTTATTTTTTAGAGCAGTTTCAGGTTTCCAGCAGAATTGAGCAGAAAATACAGAGTTTGCACATAGCCCTCTCCACCCACAGATATATACTCCCCTCCTCTCAACTCCTTCATCAATGTGGCATATTTGGTACAATCAATGAACCAACATGGACACAATTATCAACCAAAGCCCACAGTTTACATTAGGGCTCACTCTTGATGTTGTACATTCTATGGGTTTTGACAAATGCATAATGACATGTAGCCACCACTATAGTATCATACAGAGTAATTTCATTGCCCTAAAAACCCCTTGTGCTCCATCTATTCATTCCTCCCTCCCTCCCTCTCCACAAACCCCTGGAAACCACGATCTTTTTATTGTTTCTGTAGCTGTGCCCTTTCCAGAATGTCATTTGGTTGGAATTGTACAGTTTGTAGCCTTTTCAGACTGGCTTCTTCCATTTACTAATATGTTTTTTAAGTTTCTTCCATGTCTTTCATGGCTTGATAGCTCTTTTTTTTTCACTGCACATATATTTTTTAATTTACATATATGTACTGTTCATTGTTTCTAAGAACACTTAGAGCTTCAGCTTTTTAAACTTACACAGTTATCAGAGGAATAAAAACAACCACAAAATAAAAATTAATTCAAAAAGATACGTACACCCTGCTATTAACAGCAACATTATTTATAATTTTCAAGACATGGAGGCATCCCAAGTGCACATCAACAGTTGAACAGATAATGAGGAAGCAGCATGCATAAATGTAATGGAATACAATTCACCCATAAGAAAGAAGGATATTTTGCCATTTGTGGTCCTTCATTCACTTTTTTTTCCAGTTCAAAAACCAGAATTTTATTATTCTGACATAAACATTTCCTTTACATCAAAAACAACAAAATACCTAGGAATAAACTTCATCACAGAGGTTACCTATACCCCAAAAGCCGAAATGACACAAAGAAATGGAAAGATACCTTGTGCTCTTGGATTGGAAAAATCAACACTATCAAAATGGCCACACTACCCAAAGCAATCCACAGATCCAATGCAACCCCCATCAAAATACTCGCAACATTCTTCACAGAACTAGAACAAACAATTCCAAAATTTATAAGGAACCACAAAAAACCCAGAACACCCAAAGCTATCTTTTGTAGGTTTTTTTTTTCTTCTTTTTGTTCTCTTTTCTTATGGTTTGATTTCTCCCTCAAATCTGAATGAGAGCCTTGCTGGATAGATTATTCTTGGTTGTAAGTTTCCCCCTTTCATTACTTTAAATATATCATGCCACTCCCTTCTGGCCTGTAGAGTTTCTGCTGAAAAATCAGCTGATAATCTTATGAGTATTCCCTTATATGTTATTTGTTGCTTCTCTCTTGCTAATTTTAATATTTTTTTCCTTATCCTTAATTGCTGTCAATTGGATGACTATGTGCCTTAGTGTATTCCTCTTTGGGTTGACCCTGTGTGTTACTCTCTGTGCTTCCTGGACTTGGGTGACTGTTTCCTTTCCCAAGTTGGGGAAGTTTTCAATGATTACATCTCCAAAATTTTCTCAGGTCTTTTCGCTCTCTCTTCTCTTTCTGGGACCCCTATAATGCGAATATTAGTGTGCTTCATGTTGTCCCAGAGTTCTCTTAAACTATCCTCATTCCTTTTTATTCCTTTTTGTTTTCTGTTCTGAAGTAGTGATTTCCACTAATCTGTCTTCTAGCTCACTGATCTGTTCTTCTGCCTCATTTAGTCTATTCTTGGTTCCTTCTGGTGTGTTATTCATTTCAGTGAATTTGTTCTTCACCTCTGGGTATTCTTTATATTTTCCAACTCTTTGCTAAAAACTTCACTCTGTGCACCTATCCTCCTCTTGAGTTCTCTGAACATCTTCACCATCATTACTGTAAACTCTTTCTCAGATAAACTGCATATCTCCTCATTACTTATTTCTTCTTCTGGGATTTTACCTTGTGCCTTGGCCTGGGAGATATTCCTTAGCCACCCCATATCATCTATCTTTCTATGTGTTTGTGGACTCCTTCCACAGGCTTTGGGATTGTTCTTTTCTTGTTTCTAGTATCTGCCCTTGGTGGATGAGGCTGGGCTAGAGGCTTATGCAGGTTTCCTGGCAGGAGGAGCCGGTACCTGCCCACTGCTGGGTGAAGCTTGGTCCTGGACCTCTGGTGGGTAGGGCTGTGTCTAGAGGCCTTTGTGGCTTAGGAAGTCTGCTGATGGGTATGGCTGTGTTCCCACCCTGTATGTTGTTTGGCCTGAGGCTTCCCTACAGGCTGTTGGGAAGGGCTAGGTCTTGGTGCTAATGATCCAATCAAGATGTCAGCCTCCAGGAAAGCTCATGTAGATTAACATTCCCGGAATGTCTGCCACCAGCTTCTATGTTCCCTGGGTGAGCCACAGTCCTCTCCTATGTCCCCAGAAGACCCTCCAAATCTAGCAGGCAGGCCTGGCCCAGGTTCCTATGAAATCACTACCTCTGCCCTTGGACCTGGTGCACATGAGATTCCTTGTACACTTCCCAAATGAATGAAGTCTCTGTGTCCACCAGTCCCATGGGGCACCCAGCACCAAGCCCCACTGGCCTTCAAAAATAGATGTCCTGAGGTCTCTTTCTCTTCCCATTGCCAGAACCCAAGCTGGGGAGCCTGACGTGGGACTTAGAGCTCTCACTCCTGTGGGAGGGCCTCTGTGACTTAACAAATCTTCAGCTTGTGGGTCGCCCACCTGAGGGGTATGGCGCCCAATTATATTGTGAGGACACCCCTCCTACTGTCCCACTGGGGCTCCCTCTTTATGTTTCCAGTTGCAGAAGATCTTTTTTGCTAGGTTCCAGTCTTTTTTCGATGGTTGTTCAGCATTCAGTTGTGGTTTCATTGTAGTCGCGAGGAGAGGCAAGCTTGTGGTCCTGTAGTAGTAGACAGTTTATTCTATATCATTGCACATGATAACGTGGACAGTGAAAAATACACCTAATGAACTGGGCAGTTTAGCCAAGGAGACTTGCAGGTAGAGTGCGGCAGTGCCACCTACCTTCTTACTGCTTCAAGTGCAAAAAGTGAGATAAGTTGAAGAAGGGCTGTTAAACAGGACTTGCTGGCTTTGAAATCCCCAGCAAATATACTGAACTTTTGAAATGGCCTCTGGACAAAGATCAAATCCAGAGAGCTGTTAGGAAAATACAATCTAAAGGTAAGTAGAAGGTGTGTGTTCATCTCAAACTTTTGAAAAGCAAGTAACAACAAAGAATCAGATACATTAAGGATATTGAGGAAACTACCTATAAAGGAAAAAGCGGGGAGCCAGGGAGGGTAGTTAGAGTCTACAGGCTGGGATGCAAGTCTGACAATTCTGAAGGAGAGAGGGTGAAAAAAGGTAGTGTGGCAAAACTATTGTGTAGTATGTAAACAGCAGTGAAGTTCTAAGACAGAGTTCAGGCCAGGCAAATTGAGGAGTTCTTGATTCAGTTACCCACTTAAGAAGGTCCAGGACTCACAAAAACTGACCTGCATTAATACTTCCATTGTGCTCAGAAAACTGGCTGGGGCAGCCCATGAGAAGCATGGCCCCAGCATTAACGTGGTGGTTATTTACAAAGGGAGCAGGTCAATTATATCAGTTATGTTCCTCCCAGAAGGTAATCGGGCCTCCACAGAGTACGAGGATAAAAAACCCTTGATCAAGATGTTAGAAAGAAAAAAAAAAGATGTTAGAAAGATCTAAGATGATATCTAAGAGAATGGCCATTCAGTGAAGTTCCCATAAAGGGGCCTTTCAGAAGCCTCAGCTGAAGCCCAAGGTAGAGAAGAGCTGATGTGACCGACACAGAATGAGCAGCAGACCCGGGAGGAAGCTGTATTGCACATTCTGTCTTCCTTCTGGTTAGAAGCAAGTGACTAGGTTCGGCTCACATGTAAACAGAAAAGAATCAGGCTTCAGTTTTGAAGGGTGCAATTTCAAATAATTTGTGGATATATTTTAAAAACATGTCCATAGGCCCAATGAGGACAAACTGTACATTCCTACCACATGGAAGGTATGCACAGGAAGCCTCAAAAGTCTCACCCATTCACAGCATCAACTTCAAGTCCAGGATTTCATCTACATCAGGCCCACTGTGGATGAGGATGGTTTTCTCCTGACACTCTCACTCTCTAGGCCAGCATCCACTATGAGTGAACCACCACGGGGCAGGTCCTTCAGCCCCAGCCACACCTTCAGAGGACTGCAATCTCATGAAAAACCTAATATAGAAGCACTCAGCCAAATCACTCTTGACTTTCTGACCCATAGAAACTGTGAAGTTTGCTTATTGTTGTGATAAGCCAGGAAGATTGGGAGTAATTTGTAACATAGCCATTGATAATTAACATGGAAGGTTTTTTTTTTTAACCATAAAATTAACAAATTTAATTAAAAATCCATGCCATGCAAATGTCGACTGAAAAAAATGCACAACATGAGAGTTGTGAGTAAAGTTTTATTTGGGGCATAATGAGGACTATAGCCCAGGAGACAGCATTTCAGAGAGCACTGAGGGACTGCTCCCATGGGGCAGGGGAGAACGTCAGTGTTATATATGATTGTAGTGAAGGTGGGGTATGTGCAGCCAAGCACACATTTTGGCAGAGGCTTGCTGCTAGTCACAAGGAGCGGTTGTCACCATTAGTGATTTTAGTGCTTTTCTAGATATAAGGAGATGCAAGAATTTGGACTTACAAAATCTTCTCCTGAAAGTATCTAACTATCTGAAGGCCTGTTCCACCAGTTTTCCCCGAGCGCAGAGCGCCACATTCCCGATCTCCACCCAGAACTCCTTTCAAGGTGTTTGAGGGTCAGTGGCTACAGCAGCTCGTGATTCCATCCTTGCAGAGACAGATGGCAAGTGCCAGTTTTTAGTTGGCACAAGTTACAGGCATGAAGAAAATTGGGATTCCCTTTTCCTAATTTGCCATTGTTTAAACAGACATTCCATTAAAACAAGAGTGACACTGAAGGCTTTCTAAAGTGGCATGAGCTGTACTATGAATTCTCTTGTTTGGTAAAGACATACCTACAACACATATTCAGTCATTTCTTACCAGTAGCGTGAACTGTCTGATGTTTAAAAAGTCCAAGCCATACCTAAAGGCATTCCCCTATTGCTCATGTCCTCAGGGTTTCACATCTGTATGAATTCTCTGATGTGCTTTAAGGGCTGAACCATATCTGAAGGCCTTCCCACACTTCTTACACATGTATGGTTTTTCGCCAGTATGAATTCTCTCATATTGAATAAGGTTTGAAGCACGACTAAAGGCCCTCCCACATCCCTTACACTCACAGGGTTTCCCACCAGTATGTATCTTCCGATGTTGTGTAAGTTATCCATACATTTTAAAGGCCTTTCCACATTCCTGACATTTATATGGTTTTTTATCAGAGTGAATACTCTGATGTGCCGTAAAGTATGAACTGCGTCTAAAGGTCTTCCCACATTCCTGACATTCAAAAGGTTTCTTATCGGTATGAATACTCTGATGTAGAGTAAGATTTCTATAGAAAGTAAAGGTTTTCCTACATACCTTACACTCATAGGGCTTCACACTACTGTGAATTTTCTGATGTTGATTAAGGTACCCGTGCAAGCTGAAGGCCTTCCCACAGTCCTTACTTTCATAGGGCTTCTCACCAGTGTGAGTTTTCTGATGTTGGGAAAGTTTCGAGCCAGCAGTGTAGGCCTTTCCACACTGCCTACATTCAAAAACTTTCTCCCCAGTATGAATACTCTGATGCTGAGTAAGATTTCTATACAAAGTAAAAGTTTTCTTACATTCCTTACATTCATATGGTTTCCCACCTTTATGAATTCTCTGATGTAAAGTTAGGTATGAGGCAGTGGTGTACCCCTTCCCACATTCTTTACATTCATATGGTTTTTTACCCGTGTGAACAGTCTGATGGATAGTAAATTGATGACCCCTTCTAAAGGCCTTCCTACGTTTCTCACATATGTATAAGTTTCTCATCAGTGTGAATTTGTCCATGTTCTACAAGGCTTGAGCGCCTACTAAAAGCCTTCCCACATTCCTGACATTTATAGGGTTTCTTGCCAGTATGAATTCTTTGATGAATTCGAAGGTGTCCACCTTGACTAAAGGCCTTCCCACATTCCTGACATTCATAAGGCTTCCCTCCAGTGTTAATTTTCTCATGCTGAACAATGTGTGAAGCATAAATAAAGGCCTTCCCACATTCCCTACATTCATAGGTTTTCTCACCAGTATGAAATCTCTGATGTACAGTAAGTTGATAACCACTTTTGAAGTTCTTCCCACATTCTGTACATTCACAGGCTGTCCCACCAGCATGAAATTTTTGATGTAGAGTAAGCTGATAGCCACTACGAAAGTTCATCCCACATTCTTTGCATTCATAGGGTCTTTCAACAACATGAAACCTGGGATGTGGAATCAGTTGATAGCCACCACCAAACTTCTTCTGACATTTCTTGCATTCATAGTGTTTCTCTCTGCTATATATGCTCTGACATTGTGTGGGAGATATGTCTTTTTCATAAGTGGGCATTTCCACATAGCTGTTTACCTCACACTGTAAATCCAAATCTGAAACAAAAGAAGAAAACAAAAAATATCTGTATTTCTTATCCCAGAGAAGATGAACCTTCTATGAAAGAAATAAGAACCAACACTCACAATAAGTGAAGTGCTTCCAGAATTCTAAAATATGGTAATGAAATTTTAAAAAGGCCAAAAAGAGTTGAGATATATGAGAAGTTATGTAACATGATGAAGTTACTGAAATTTACGTGTGGATCAAAGTTTAGCAAAATTGTTAGAAATTTGCTATCTTGGCACAGTCACAGACTAACCAGATTAGAAGTAAGAAGAGAAGAACACTTTATTCTGAAATTTTCTATCACTGATTTAGATGCAGATCAAACTTTAAGAATTCATCCCAAGTTTCTCTAGTGATTTCTCTTTGCTCTTCTCATACAATCCAAACTCCCATGGACGGCAGGGCTTCTGCTTCCCTACATGGTGTCATGTCAAAACCCTGACCCCTCTGCTATCCCCCATCACTTAGGATCTGGTACAACCTTCCCTATCACTTAATGCTTTCTGCAGACTGTTTCATCCAGTCGAAACCCTTGGACCTGGGCACTCTGTAGGCTGGATCCTTCTCATCCTTTATGTATCAGGATGAATGTCCTGTCCCTCAGGAAGACTGTACTTGCTAACGCTAAGTATGTGCATGTCTTTTTTGTTGTTTCGTTTTAGCACTTCATTGTTTCCACCATACCTCTGCTTTCAATTATCATATCATTAATTTTCTTATGATATTCTCTTTCTTCATTTCCCTAAACTTCCCTAAGACATAGTCCCTCATTACTTTATCACTGAATGACAAGTTTCTGATGTATCATAGGTGCTGAATAATTATTCTTACTGATCTTCAGTTGGGTTTTTACTCCTCATCTATTCTAAATGTGCTAAATATCTGTTGGTGCATATTCTTTCCCACGTGTCCTCTCCTCCTTTCCCTTACTGTCAAGGCCAACCATTCTTATACTTCCCAGATAAGCATTCTAATGCTTTTTTAGACAATTCACAGATACATATTCAAAAGGAAACCTTAAAAAGTCTTTCCATTTGGAAAGGCTGGAGAGAATAAGTAAACTATAAAATGGGGGAGGTGTGGGGGTACCAGAGTGCTTGGAACTGTACATAAAAGGAAGTATTAGCTACAAGCTGGAAGATGGCAATCGAGATTTAGGGAAAGACTAAGGAATATCAGTGCAGAATGAGGGGCGCACAAGTCAAGGGCGAAGAGTATTTTTCTGTGAATCCATTGTGGGATATGTAAAACAGGTGAAGTGACACCTTCTCTGACCTCAAAGAATAACACTGAAAATAACAGCAACATCAGAAAAAAAGTGCTCTGTCTACCTAGAAAAATCATTTTCTTTTAACTAAATGTAGTGGAGCAGAGGAAGGATGCATACCCACACCAAATTGGACTTGGGAGTCAAGACTGAGAATGCCACACACATACACCAAGAAGGTGTGAAAAGATTTGTTACTTGTATAGTAAGGCTTCCTAGAGAGAGCAGGATTGTTCCCAAGTTGGTCTGAAGATGACTTGAGAGATCTGGAAAAGAGACTGACTTAGGGATTTTTTTATGGTGGTGAGGGTGTGGTGCAGGGCTGAGGGTTCCTGCAGTGGGACATGGTTTGCATGGTTTGAATTGCCCACTGGCACTGAAGTAGGGAGCACTCGGGCTTTTTTATCAGCTTTCCCAAAAGTGGGGCAGGAGAAGTGGAGCCTGAAAGCTGTCTGCAGTCAAAATTCAAATAGAGTCACAATCTTTATCATACTAGGAAATAAACAGTGAAACTAGAGGCATGGAGACACCAAACAATGAAAAGACTACATTTCAGAAGGTACAACTTCCAACTATACTGCTCAGAGAAAAGTTGTCACTTCAACACAAATTTAATATACAATTTACTATAAATTTAGAAAAAAAATCAAAGTAAACTGAAGGAAAGCAGAAAGAATAAGGATAAGAACCAGAATGAAATGAGCTTGGGAAAAGAACAGAATCAACACATAAATTGTAAAAAGTACCTCCTTGATAAGAAAAATCAATGTGCAATGACACACTAGGTAAACTAATTGAGAAAAGAGTGGATTATAAAATTTTAAGCAATTATAAAAGTAAATATGAAAATGAATATATGTATGCACGTGCATAACTGGGACATTGTGCTGTACACCAGAGATTGACACATTGTAATTGACTGTACTTAAATTAAAAAAAGAAATTGTAAAAGTAAAAGACATAAACATAATTTATCAAAACCAACTCTACAAAAGACAAAAATCTTGAACAGATCAGTCTCCACAGAATAGAAAAACTGTCAAAAAGGCTAGAAGGATAAGCACAGTGATCATTTACTCTGTCATCTCTAAATATTTAGTACTATTATGGATCAGAAAATCCTTAAAGAAATGTTTAATTCAAAGAATGGGGCAGGGAGGATACAAGATAAGTCTCATAAAACTTAGGCCAAAAAAGGAAAATTTTACAGATTTATGACTGTTAAAAAGCCATGTGTCTGAGTATTAAGCTGTATATGACCAATACTGTGAAAGAACAGAAAAATTATGTTGGATTAAGCATATTAAATAAATAAAAGATAAAAATATAATGATTCTTTAGAAAACAGAAACCATCTTCAGTTATTTTTTCATTAAATAGTATATTACTAAAAACTTTATAATTATCAGTATTAAGTAAAATATATTTTCCTGCCCTCTCCCATCAATTTATATTTCAAAGTAACCAAATATGGAACTATATTCAATATCATAATAACCTTCAATGAAAAAGAATATATGTATATACATGCATGACTGGGACATTATGCTGTACATCAGACAAGTGACACATTGTAACTGACTACACTTCAATAAAAAAAAAAGTAACCAGAGCCCCAGTTGATCATGTCAATAAAAAAACTAGAAATCATGATAGAATTTTTTTAAAAACCACCTAACAATTCCCAATCTTATTAAGATAAGTATAAAGGATGTTGCTAAAACTAGGAGGAGAGGAACTGCTTATAGAACTGATGGCTGCTGTGATGCAAAAGCAAGATAATACAGACTTCTTTTCAGTTACAACAGGAAGAATGTAACTGAACAATGGAGGAAGCCAACTGTTACCCTAACTGAGTGGTCACGTTACAAAACCAGTGGTGCGACCCCACACACATTGTGTCTTTTAGTGGAGTACACATGCCACCTGTGATGTACTTCAGCCACAAATGTTTGACATGAATCCCTCAAGACTGAAAATAATTTCCAATTTACTGAAATACAAAGGATAGAAACTAAGTTAAATTATACCATGGACAGTATCCACACAAGTACAGAAGATGACAGATTTTGAAATATAAGTGGCCTTGTCTCTTCAAAATGTCAGTGTCACAAATAAAGGGAATGTGTTAGATTAAGAGAGATGTCAGTGATAGGATAACCAGCTGGAATGCATAGTCTGGCATTGGATACTGATCTGAACAAGTCAAACTGGACCTATCCTACGAATAGGATTTGGGTTTTGAAGATGCAGTAAAATCAAAATATAATAGAAATAGAAGTAGAAAAATCAATGATAAGGACAGTCAGGTTATAGAACAGTAAGAAGACGATGTCACATTGGTAAAAAGAAAAACATGTATATGCATGTGTGTATGTAAATCCACTAAAGTGTTAAAGTAGTAGAAATATGAGATTTTAATGTTTTGAAAATAAATTTTATGTCTCTGTTTTCTACAATGCATGCAGAGGATTTCCTAATAAGGGTTATTAATTTTGTATTCATCTGTTAACATGGCATGTTAACAAATAAGCCAAATATTGACACAGTCCAGAGTCTGAGCGGATCATCAATAAGGATCTGGAAATCTATGGAAATAAGCTAAATATTACAGAATTCAGTTCCTATTTAGGCAAAGACAAATTACTTATAAAAAGAGATCACAGTGGGGTGGGTATAGCTCACTGGTAGAGTAAAGGTCCTGGGTTCAATCCCCGGTACCTCCATCAACAACAGCAACAAAAAGAGATCATATACTTGGCAGCAGATTTCAAAGGATCAAAATCATAGAGTATGTCATCTGATCACAAAAACTATGCTAGAAATCAATATTACAAAGACAACTAGACAATCAACATACATTTGGAAATTAAAAAGTTGAGCAATATACCAAACTGTGCCTTATGATAATAATTACCAACTTTGGAAAACAATATTTTGACTGAAAAATATAAGGCAAAAGGAAGTATACATAAACACTGCTGGAGTTAGTGAATTTGTTTCTCATGGGGGTGCAGGTTAACACTTCTCAAACTATGTTACATGTACACTGGGGCTGAACAAATAAGTGAATGGATGATGGATGGTGAGAGTCAGTTTTCTGTCAGAGAAATACCATTACAGATAAACAAGACAGGAAGGGTAGAAGGCACCCTCTGGCACTGGATGGCAGTCAGAAACACCAGTATGGACTCAAGTTTAACTTAATGTAGATAGAGATGGATGGCAGTCAGAAACACCAGTATGGACTCAAGTTTAACTTAATGTAGATAGAGATGGATGGATAATAAAACAGTCACAGGTATACGTAAGTATCCATGAGTGAGTGTGCATACATCTGTTACCTAGATAGGTCTTTGGGGGGCATAGAGGCAATGACACAGTAGCAATGAGTATACCCAGCACCCAGATCTTGGTTTCTCAACACCATCCTCTGATAAAAGGGCTCCTAGGAGAAATGGCTGATTCTAGGACCAGGGAAGGGAGAAGACAAAACGAGTCTGAAAGCAGTACTAGGGAAGAAATCTTCAAAAAAAACAGAAGGATGGGGATATTAAATGAACATAAGAACCAATCTAAAAGAGTTACCAATAGCCAAAGCAAAAGAAATAATGTAACATGATTATAACTCAAAGTATGAAGTAAATATGTGTAAGCCCACACTGAAATAAACAAGGAAGAGAAATCTTTCATATATAGAATAATTCTAGATAAAATACA